TTCGAGGTTACATAGAGAGTACCAGTCTTCTTACCACGAGCAATGACGAGTGCTCCTTTGGTAATCTTCCATTCACAGCCTGAAAAGGTTGTACTATAACCTTCTCCATTAAGCTGTCCAACAGAAATCAGATTTCTTTTGAGGCCAGGAATATGTCTCACTCCTGTCAGCTTCCAGGTGGTCTGGTTTGGCAGCTTTAGTCGGATGTCTCCTTTTCCGACGATCTTCAAGGTTTCATCATCAGCAAGATGAACCTTCCCAAAATCTCCACTGATATAGTTCTCCATGATTTCTTGGCATGGGGTGGAGTGGAAAGATGCCCCTGAATCCAAGATCCATGATTCAATCGGACTGTTGACGCTTAGAATCATGGCATCACATGTCTCCTCTGTCATGTTGGCAGATTCCTGTGCGCCGGTATTTTTCTTCGGTGCTCGGCAATCTCTTTTGAAGTGACCGTTCTTGCCGCAATTATAACAGGTAAAATCTTTATTTCATGTTCTTGATTTTCCCCTTCTGGATTTCGATCTGCCACGATTTGAATTTCTTTCTGAAGTTATCCCTCTGGACTCCGTGTGCAAGGCTGAGGAGGTTGATGCTTCACCCGATTCTCTCCGTCGAATTTCTTCGCTCAATACCAGATCCCGAACATCGTCGAATTTCAATTTGCTGTTCCCCGACGAGCTGCTGACTGCTGTAACAGTAGCATTCCAACTGTCTGGTAGAGATGATAAGAGAATTAAAGCTCGAACTTCATCATCGAACTCAATTTCCACTGAACTCAACTGGGTTGTGATTGTGTTGAGTTCATTTAGGTGTTGTGCCACCGATGCCCCTTCCACCATCCGCAAATTGAATAATCGCCTCATCAAATGAACTTTGTTTGAGGCCGATGGCTTCTCATACATACTGGAGAGAGCAGCCATAAGACCCGCCGTGGTCTTTTCCTTTGCTATGTTGAAAGCAACATTGCGGGATAACGTCAGTCGGATAACTCCGAGGGCTTGTCTGTCGAGAAGAGCCCAGTCTTCATTCTTCATGCCCTCTGGTTGTTTTCCTGAGAGGGGTTGATATAGATTTTTCTGGTACAGAAAATCTTCAATTTGCATCTTCCAAAATCCAAAGTCCGCACCATCGAACTTTTCAATTTTCACCTTCCCTTCGTCTGCAGCCATCGCTCCCACTCGAATCTGGCTTCGTTTGGATCGATTCTGACAATTTCTGCGAACCGCCGTGTATTAGAACACCTCCGTCGACAAACTCGTATCGTCGACCGAATTTCATTATTCACGAAATTTACTATTCACGTGAATAGTAACCCAAATAGTAACCTCGCAAAAAATTGACAGAATTCACAACAACAAAATCTCTGGTACAAGTTGTTAGGAAATAAACCGAGTACGAGTAATTTTCCTATAACCAGATTAGTGAGAATGCGAAATAAAAGCGGAAAAATAATACCCGAAATTGATAACGGAGTTCAGCCAATTATGCTTACGTCTCCGAGCTGCTTTAGATCTTTTACTAAGAGAAAATTTACAGGTGTTTACACAACACACTTGATAGAGAACTAGAAGATTTTGGGATGATTTTGAATCTAAATGAGCTAGGATATTTATAGTTGAAGCTTAGGACTAATCTTGTAAATACCCTAAAGTGTGCAATGACTAAAAAGGTAATTAACACATTTACAATTTCAATAAAATATTGGGGCACTGAATTCGATGCCCCTTTTGTTGAAAATGAATGTACTGTGCCCCCAATTTTAAAAATTTCTGTTGAAAACAATTCAACTAGGCCCCACCTTTGATTACTTTCAACACGATGTACGAACGTTGAGGTGACAACCGAGTGATGTAACCGGGACGGAGAGAATAAACAAGGACAGGTAGAAAAGAAGACGAAGGAGAATACCAGGGTGAAAAGAGAAGAAAAGGGTTGTTCCATGGAATTTCAGAGTATAAAATGTGTGAGGTGGGGGAGATATAATGTTTTGTTTTGAGTGCATATTGGAATATTTAAGGGGTTTGATCTCTGATCGTATCCCCTTCAATTTACACTGTTTTTCACTTTTATTTATCATTTACAATAAAGTTGTGCTAATAAAATCATTGAAAGATTAATTATCAATTAGAATTTAGACCAACACATAACATAATCACCTCCTCATCCATACAACAAGCTTTTGTTGACTTGCCTTAGAAGGTGGTTGGATGATGGTTCTAGTAGTGTTAAATTGATTTTTTGGTGAAGTGTGTACGTACTCATACTTTTTGTTGTATAATTATTTATAATAGTTTTGGACAAATATTGATGGAGAGTTTTCATGGCATTGGTATTGATTGACCTAGATAGTGATAATTTAGACTGATTTATCATTAAATGAAATCATACGTACCGACACATGAACACCGGTAATCATATGTAAGATATATTCGCGGGGTTGCTGGTGATGGTCACATGTTTGCTGATGGTCGTTGGCAGGATATATTACATATATCTAAAAGTTTGTATAAGTCGTAGGTTTATATAAATTGTAGATTTGTATACCGAAGATTCGCATAAGTTATAGCCTCGCAAGTAGTAAGGGCTCTGAACCCTATTTATCATACTCCCCGTGATTTTGCTTTAACTCTAAATTATCTCCTCCAAACACGTTAAATATCTTCATCTTATAATTAGACTTATTTAAGTTATTTTTTCTAAACTCACTTGAAAGTCTTAGTAGTTAGTGCCCATAACAATACAATTATAGGGTCTGAGGGTGGGTTATTTTAAAGTGTTGGCCCAAAACTTCCGAAATCCAAAATGTTTCAATGAGCTTTTAATGACCCTAAAAATGATTTTCTTTGCACCCTAATAAAAGATGGTGCTGTGAATCAACCCACAATGGAAGCAGCGGGGGCGGTGTTGGTTTTTCGCAACTCTGAAGGTGAATGGATAACATGATACGTTCGAAATATCGGCCGATGCTCAATCCTTCACGCCGAGCTATGGGCTCTGTTAGATGGCTTAGACATTGCTTGACACCAAGACTTCAAACAGATTGGGGTGGAAATGATTGATGCCGAGGCTGCTAAGATCCTCAACTCCCCAACTCCGACGCATGAAATAACGATCATCCGCAGAATTCAAAAACTTCTCCAGCAACAATGGATCGTCATATTGTAATTGTACGTTAAAAAAGTTAAAAAAAAGAATAAAAAAAGAAAATTTATATAGAATTATTAAAATAGTAAATTAAAAATAATATAATTATTAAAAACTGACAATACATAATTCAAACATGGATAATCTTGGATAAAATTTAAAACTATATTTTATATCAGATTGAATTTAGACAATTATAAAATAAATTAACATCATTAAATTCACCTTTAATTATAGGTCCACTAGCACTAATTCAATGGATTTATTGATATTTTTTTTTCTAAATCACTAAAATCCTTCAACTTTTTTATTTAATATAGATTAAAACATTTGTAAAAGAACTTTCAGTCGCATAATTACGATGTAGTAATATAATATTACCAAATTAAATCGAAGACAAAAAATGTCTCATTTTCGACAATTTCAATCCCGTAGCTTAGGCCCACATTATTAAACATTATAGTATTTAGATCAACATCCAATAAAATATGGTGGAGTTGAGCTGAATTTTAGAGGAAAATTTTGTATTATTCTTAGTTTTAACTTCTAACGAAGCAAACAGAAGTGAAAGGATGCATGGCCGCAAAACTACAAAAATGTTGACTCTTGAAAACATCCCACATCGATAGCATCGATAGCCATTTTAGGACAAGAAGCTATGTTTTATGTCCCAATCTCATTTTTTTTTTGGCTTTCGATTAAGATAGAAAGTATATTAAAAATCAAAAGTGTAACAATAGATTTCTCTCTCATCGCTTCATGCCTTCTTCTACTTTGGATTTGATGTGTTTTGCTTTATTCTAACCACTCCTGTATATAAAACTAAATAGATATAAAGAATCATGAACCAAGATCTCGGTGGTTAAGAGATTTGTTATCATTCCTTGAGGTTCCGAATTTGAGTACAACTAACGTTAGGGTATGAGTGTTCATTGCCAAAACATTAAAAGTCTTTGAACAAATACAACCTAATCGTTGAATAACTTTTTCTGAAAAATATTTTTAATTCAAAATATTTTACTTTCGTCTATGTCTATCGAAAAAGTGGCGTGAAATCATTTAATTACGTAAAAAAATTGATTAAATCAATAAAAACATAATTATAACTTATTCATAGACCAATTGAATCAAAAAAGTATATATCCGAACATCTATAAATTGAAAAGAGCAAAGACCTAAAATTGCTGGCCATTGCCACTACCTCCACACCTAAGCCCATAATAAACAAAGGACAAAAGGAACAAGAACAAAATTATATAAGAATTTAAAATGGAGGAAAGTGGGAATCCCCTTTGCCACTAACAAGATTGACCTATAATCTAAGTACATGATGTGGTAAATCACTAAGCCTTGATTATGTGACATAAGCTGGGTCTTCATAAAACAACAATTTTAAAAGCCTTTTTAAAAAAAAGAAAAAGAAGAGAGCAAATAGATGATTTGGAGGCACATGGAAATTGTAATCCCCACTATCACCCACTAAGCAACAAGCAAGGTTGTTGTTTTGTTTTTGGCTTTGTGTTGTGTTTGAGAATGGCCACCTTTTTATTCCCCGTCCACTCCACATCCTACCAAGAACAAAGAGGCTCTGTGTTTAAGATTTTGTATGTATTTCGAGAAATTCCATATTCTTTTGAACCCTCCAAAAAGACAAACTAAACAATGAAGACAAAAACAGGCTCTTGTGGTGTCATGGGAAAGTCCTTCAAGACAAGACCTTTTTAAGTAATGTGATTGCTTTAGATTTGAGTGGCACCCAAGTTTTCCAATTTCCTTAAAGGGTCTTCAAGGATTTTGATGAATTTGACGACCCTTTTCAGGGTTTTAATTGATTGCTCCATTCCATCAGTTCTTGCTCAGGTGAGCTCTCTCTCTCTTTTTTCTTTTACTGGTATTTCCCTCTATCTGTTTTGGTTTTTTAGTTTTTGCTGCTTAATTTGTTCAGAGAATCTGTTATTAAATCAAAATATGGATTATTCATCTGTTTGTCTGTTAGAGTTTGCTTCAATCTCCATTTAGTTTGTTTTTGTTTTCCACTGTTTTTGCAAATTCAAGTTTCTACTGATGTTTCTTATCCACAATTATTCTAACACAAAGGACAAAAAGAAGACAGTTTTATGATTTCTCACTATGTAGATTGATTTTCCATCAAATTGTTTTGACATAAGCTTTACTTTGACTGTTAATGGTAGGAATGATTCGAGAGGGACCATCGATTATAACTTCACCACCACTTCAGTTCATGTCCTGGATGTCACTTTCTCCTGGTTTAGGATCCCCATTCCCGTGGCTCCGGGAGCTGAAATCCGAGGAAAGGGGTTTATATCTGATCCATCTTCTCGTTGCATGTGCGAACCATGTCGCCGCTGGTAGTCTCGAGAATGCCAACATCGACCTAGAACAAATATCTCACCTCGCCTCCGCCGATGGAGATACCATGCAAAGAATTGCTGCTTACTTCACCGAGGCACTTGCTGATAGGGTGCTTCAAGCATGGTCTGGCCTTCACAAAGCTCTCAATTCCACTAAAATATCATCAGTACAAGAGAGAATTCATGTTCAGAACTTGTTCTTTGAGTTATGCCCTTTCTTGAAGCTTGCGTATGTTATCACGAATCAAGCCATTGTAGAAGCTATGGAGGGGGAGAAAATGGTTCATATTATAGATCTCCATTGCTTCGAGCCTGCACAGTGGATTAATCTTTTTCAAACATTGAATGCTAGACCAGAAGGGCCACCCCATTTGAGAATTACAGGCATACATGAGCAAAAAGAGGTGTTGGACCATATGGCGCTTCGATTGACTGAAGAAGCTGAGAAATGGGACATTCCGTTTCAGTTTAATCCGGTCGTTTGCAAGTTAGAGAATCTCGATCTCGAAAGTTTGCGCGTTAAGACCGGAGAAGCTCTTGCGGTCAGTTCTGTCCTTCAGCTTCATTCTCTCTTGATGACGGATGATGAGATGCTTAGACGGATCAACTCCCCATCCATGTCTACGAACCTCAACACCGATCGCTCACAAAGAGTGCTGCAGATGCAGATGCACCAACGTACGTTAGGGGAGTGGCTTAAGAAAGAGCCAGTCCATGTATATAGCCCAAGTCCGGACTTGTTGTCGCCATCACCGTTATCCCCGCTTGCCCTGGCCCCTGCACCGAAAATGGTGAACTTTCTATCTGCTCTTCGGGGGCTGTCACCGAAATTGATAGTTATAACCGAGCAGGAGTCCAACCATAACGGCTCTACTTTAATGGAGAGGGTAATGGAAGCATTGAATTTCTATGCAGCACTCTTCGATTGCTTAGAGTCTACGGTATCGAGAGCACCGATAGAGCGACAAAAGATCGAGAAGATGCTTTTCGGGGAGGAAATTAAGAATATCATAGCTTGTGAAGGTGTTGAGAGAAAGGAGAGACATGAGAAGGTTGAGAAATGGATTCTGAGATTCGAGTTGGCCGGCTTCGAGAAGGTGCCATTAAGCTACCATGGGATGCTGCAAGCAGGACGATTGTTGCAGACCAATAACTATGATGGTTATAAAATCAAAGAAGATAATGGACGTGTGGTAATCTGCTGGCAAGAAAGACCTCTGTATTCAATGTCAGCCTGGGGAATTAGACCGTAAAACTTCTAAGATTTTTAGTTTTTACACATTTTTTGTGTGCGCTTGTTTCATCCTTTATCTTGTTCGTGTCTGTGTAAAGAATATCAGGTTCTTCTCTGCAATCTCATAATGTTGTTAGGAAAAGTGTCAGAACTGCTTGATTGTTCAGATATGCCCCCACGTTGTAATTGTTGGTTCACAACAGATAGACGCATGATTATGTTACAGTGAATTTTTAAAATTTTAGAGGGAATCTAATTTATTAGACGAAATATTTTTTATCTAAAAAAACTGTCGATTATTTTATTAATAAACTTTTTTATAAATTTTGACTGAATCTTCATAAGATCAAAATATATTATTAATAGAAAATATAAAAAATATAGTAAATATGTGATAATTTAAAAAATTTAAGGTTAATTACCCGGCTACTCCCTTCGGTTCATCCATGGATTCACATGTACTTCATGTTCTCGTCTGATAATATTTCTAAGTTTCTGTTACAGTCAATCACATTTAGTTTATGTGAGCGTGAGACGGTGAATATGATCATAAGTGAATTTTTTTTACAACAAAATCTCATTATAAATTTGGGTTACTCTAAAGTCTTTAAACACGGAAAATGTAAATAATTTATTTTGTGAAATCATACTATTTAGTGAGATTTCCGAGCATTTAGAAGATATCATTGATTTTTAGTCTTTTATATTGAATATATATTTTTTTTATAGAATTCGTTAATTTTATTAAAAATAAAAAATATTTAAATTATAATAAAGGTTTATAATTATAACGGTAAACTAAATAGATAATAAAAATATTTTCCTAAATACAAGAAAACTAGTAACTTAAAATCACACAAGGATCATAAAATGAAAATATTAAAAAATCTAACCAAAAAACTCGAACAATAGATAAATACGATTAGATCTGACTGTATCGGCAAACAAACCACAAAAGAGAATAAAACTATTGAAAGACCACCGACATACCAAAAATCATAATCGAACGATGTGAAAATACAATCCATGAACGCAAATCACATACACAAGTTCAATCCGAGAGTCCAAAGCAGGGAAGATCGTCATGATAACAAACAAACGCCATCTTGATCGATGTCGAATCCAACCCTGAACATCTTGATCGATGTCAAATCCAACCCTGAAAAATAAAAGAAAACAACAGTCCAACAATCCAAAACGTACCTTAGAGACAAAGAAAAACGTGCCATAAAGACGGAAGAATACGTATAAAAAAGACATAATTATTAAAATAAAAAAACAAGAAAAAACAAAGATATACTATAATAAAGAAAAAGAAAATTAATTAATATCGATTGTCGGCAATCAATATCAAGACTGATGGTTTCGCTACCGATTATAAAGATGAAGAATAAAATATATTAGCCACAATGTGTTTAACAACAATTTGACGTATTTGATGGTAATATAATCATATCTCAAAATATAATATCTGATTCAAGTAATGTCTAGTAGTATTTATATTCAATTTTCTATTATATTTATGTATACATTTGATATCTGAGTGGAATTTATTTCTATATATATATTTTTATTTTTTTAAGTTTATGAACATTTCAAAATTGTAATATCATGTTTAATTATTTATTTTAATTATTGAAATCTATTTTTCAAAATAAACTTTTGGTTTTAAATCGTCAAACTTTATTAAAGTGAAAGCTCTACAACTGATTATGTAACATCCCAAACTATGGGTTAGTGACTAAATTGTAAAATTTCAGAATTTGGTGATTAAAGTGGAAAAGTTGAAAGGTTCAATGATTTATTTGAAAGTATTTCCTGAAAGTTTTTAGTAATTATCAAAGGAAATAAAGGGTAAAATGATCATTGAACAAATGAAATAATAAAATAATAATTAATGAGTATTATAATACTCATGTGGAGCATATATTTTGGGAAATCAAGTTTCCAGATTACTCTCCTCTCTTCCATCTTCATCTTCTTCTCTTCTCCACGTGAAAGCTCAAGCAAATGTAAGATTTATTTGTTGTTGATTATTAGTTGAAATTTAAGTTAGGTTTTGATTATTAGATGATAATTAAGTTTAAGGAAAGCTTAGGTTATCTTAAAATCTAAAGATAAAGGAGTTAGAGAAAATTAAAGATTTGAAGTTCTTGAGTGAAATCTTGAAATAGAGTTGATAAGTTGAATTTGAAGTTAAATTTGACTTGTCTTCAACTTAATTAAGAAGTATTAAGTGTTAGAATTGGATTTGAAACATAATGAAAATTGGGTATGATTTTTGAAGTTCATAAAGCGAAGATGATTTTGAGGTTTAAGATGATATAAATGAATATAAATTGGTTAAAGTATGTATATTTGAGTTAAGAATATGAAAGGGAACGAAACATGAAGAATTGAAGTTGAAATAATGAATTTTCGTGCATGAACAGTGATTTCTGGGCAAAAATTTACAGATTATGCAGAGGGTATAGATACCCCATGGGGGGTATCGATACCCCCTAAAGAAAAAAATGGAATTTTGGCTCATTAAACTAGCTTAAGTTATTAACATCAAGTTATAAGGTTTAGGCTTCTGATAATTGTTTTGAAAATGATATTTATGTAGATACATAGCCTAAACGAGTTTCGGAGCAATCAAATAATTATGATCAAATCAAAGCAAGGCTAAGGCGAGTGCAATTTAATTTGTGCTTATGTTATAGAACGAACATTGGCTTGCGATGAGCCAGTGACGGAGTTACTATGGAAAGAAGTGAATCCTAAAATGTTATTTGATTGTGATTCTTATGTGTGTACGAGTACGTGAAAATAGATATATGTTATTATATATGAAATTATAATATAGGATATGTGATGAGATATGTGTAATACATGAAAAGGTGATATAAGTTGTGTAATAAACTATGTGAATTGATATAAATAATTAGTAGAATAATTGGAAATGTGAGATAAAATAAGTAATATTTACTTATAAGATAAAAGGAGATCATATGAACAAATAGTATTGATAGAGCACATAAAACTACATGTATATCTTTTAATTTAATAAAAAAGTATATGTGATATGAATGACATGATTTGTATGATGTATGAATTCATGAGTAAAGGTATGCATAAATGATATACGTATGAAATTAGATATATGAGAATAGGTATATGTAACATGTGAATTATAAGAAAGTGATCTACTGGTAAGTGAACTACTTGACTATGTGATATGTGAATATACTTGAGAAATACATGTTCTCTGATGAGATATATGTTACATGATATGACATGTGAGTTTACATGAACAAATGAGAAATGATATAAGCCATATGAAACTATTTACGTGAATACATGCACTTGTGTACATGTGATATGATATGAGATATATGGTTACACATACATGTGGTATGTGACAGAAGAGAAAGAACAAGTGATATGAAATGTATAAATGATAATGCCCATGTTATATGATATGAGAGCTAGTGGTATAGTTGGCATGCCAAGAGTCGAGGGTTACCTATGTTCTACGGAACATATGGACAGTTTACCTATGTTCTTCGGAACATATGAACAGTTACATAGGTCCTTCGGGACAAATTTCATATGCCACTCAGTGGGACTTATACGAGCTGTGGTGACAGCAATAGTGCACAACCTCAATGTACTCGAATACCTTAAGTTTTCAGTAATGTATATGGGCCTATAAAAGATATCAAAAGTGTTTGCATGAATTATGTGATGTTATGTGTACTCTGTTGTGGAATGATATATGTGTTCTATGATATGTATAGAAATGTTCAACATATGCTTATATGATCACAAGGAATTAGTAATAATAATATGGGTATTGAAAAGCATGTTAATGATATATGTATATGTATAAAGTGGTTATATTATAGTATGAATTATTTATGCATTGATATCAGTAATGTTACATGTTTTCATGCCTCATTAAGTCATCGACTTATCGTGTGATTGTTTTACACGTAGGTTGAAAAGCAAAAAGAAAAGTAAAGAGAAACAACACAGGTCAGTTCTCCTTACCGAATATCAGATCAAAAATGTAGTTGAATTACATGTATTTGGTTATATAGAATTTAGTTGGCATGTAATATAAAAGATTTGAATCTGATATGCTCTGAACAAGTTTTATAATGTTTAAACGTATTTTTTTGTAAAGGGTAAATGTATAGAGATGAACGTTTTAAATTTTAAAAGTTTATATATGTTTTACGGAAGTACTGTATCAGGGTATCGGTTCCTTGTAGCAGGGGAATCGATTCCCCTCTGACAATTTGGTACTGTAGCAGGTACTGTTCACGGTAATCTTCATTACTGTTCATAAATACGTTTTTGACTTGAATTTTTATACTGAAACATAATTTAATGGAATATTGTGGTGTTTTCTTAAAAAGAGTTCAAATGTTTTGATATTTTATAAGAATATCGTTTTTAAAAGTTAATGTGACATCTCAGACTTGTATCCGGGTCGGGTACGGGTTGGGGTGTTACAGATAATATTATAAATAATTTAATAGCAATTAGAAAATTTTTATTTGGACATTATTTTATGTGTTTGAAGTAAATGATTGTACGTAAATTATCTGATTATTAATTATTTAAATGCATAAGAAGGAATTATGACTTATTATATAAAGTATTTATCAATAAAATTTTGACATTTATATTTACGTATCTAAAGAATTTTATTTAATTAGATAATTAATCACAAAAAAGTATTTAAATAAAAATATTTATTATAATAAAAATATCATAAAGATTATAGACATAATATTAATTCAATCAAACAAAAAAACTGTTAAGAGGTGGTCAAGGGGTGAATTAGCACATAATATTAGTTCAATCAAACAACAACAAAAAATATCTATTATAAAGGTAAATTACATTGTTTCTCATTGTACTTTACTCTCTCTCCTATTTTACTCATTATACTTTCAATTTTTCTAATTTGCTCACTGAACTTTATAGATTGAATCATTTTGCTCACTCTGTCGTTAACTGTTTAACGATGTTATGACATGACACAAGAAATACCATCGGCCACCACTTTATTTTCATTTCGGCCACCGTCAACCGTCGTTAATGGTGGCAGTTCGATCCCAAATTTCATGGGTCGTTTTATCTGGACGCCCTGAGTCCGAATCTGGTGGTTATTTCATCGGAAAATATCCCAAACCCCATGAACCTGGAATGAAATGTTTCGGCTTCCTCACTTTTAATCTCAAATTCGTGGACTTCGGAATAAGTTCCGACAAAATAGAGGTCGGATTCATACTCAAGTTGTCGAGGTGAAGTGACTCATGAAATTTGAGACCGAACGACCACCATCTACGGTGGTCGACTATGGTCGGCAGTGGCATCCTCAGTCTTTTTTGTTAACGACGTTAGAGAGATAATAGGAGAGTGAGCAAAATGATTCAATCTGTAAAGTTCAATGAGTAAATTAGAAAAATTAAAAGTACAATGAGCAAACTAGAAAAGAGAGTAAAGTATAGTGAGAAACAATGTAATTTACCCTTATTATAATTTAAACTTTAACACATAAATTGATGCATAAGGAATTAGCAACAACTTTGAATAAAATTTAGGATTAACATTTAATTTAATATTTTTTATAATTTTATTTAGTCAAAGATTAATCACAACAATGTTAAAGAAAATTATTAAAGTTAAAAACCACATATATAAGGTATATGTATTAAATCTTATTACATAAATTATTAAGATAAAATTATTAAATAATTTCCCATAATTACTCACATAAATTATAAAAATGAATTAAAAATTTTTTATCAAAGAAATAAAAAATAATTATATCATAAAATAAATCTAATTAAATTTAAAAATTAACCACAAATAATTTTTATGTTACTAGATTTATTTTCTACACAATTTATTTTGATAAATTATAATTTATGTTTGTCTTAATTTTCTTTTCAAAATAATTCCGTTTGTCCTAATTTTTGTTAAGCATATATGTTCATGTAAATATGTTTAATAATAGAATAGATATTCTTGAAGTAATTAGTGAGAAGTTTGAAATAATCCACCAACACTTATATTTAATATAATAAATTCATGAGGAGTATCGACCAAGAGAATAATCTGTTGGAATTTGTTAGAATCACATCAATATCAATTTTATGAGGAGTCATTCGTTAAAATCGAGGGAATAATATTAATTATAATAATATTTAAATATTACAGATTAAATTTATTATAACGTCAATATTATTAAAACATCAAATTGTTTTTTCTTAATTTTTAACGAGAAATAATTAATTTGTAACTTTCGTTAATTTAGATGACCTTTCTGTAACTTTTTATAGTTAAAAGATGAAAACCAAAAACAGCCTATAGTTAGTAGACTATTAATGTAGTTTACTCAAAACATAAAGAGTGAAAGGAATTAAAAGGAAAATTTGGAAATTATTTTATTTTATTTTATTTTACGTATTTATTTGGTTGCAATTTTCATTTGACAATTGATTAGTCCCTGTCCATTGCCTTGGACTAACTTTTAATTTGTAGCCGTCTCCAACCATCACAATGGCCGGCCACCACCACCACCGCTCTACTCCGCTGCTATCATCCGCCACGTCAGCCTCGTCCTCCTCCCAGTCCTTCCTCTCTAAGCTTCTGCTCCTCCTAACTCTTCTCCCTCTCTCTTTAGCTGCGTTAGCCTTCGTTCTACAGTGGCGCGGAGGAGGTGTATCCGATCCCACCATCGCCACATCCGGCGCCTATTCCCGATGGGCACCACAGGGGTCCCACCATGAGATCTTCCCTGGCATGGAGACTTTCTCAACTCTCTCCCCCAAATCGCATTCTTCTTCTGATTGCATCAATCTCGGTCGTAGCTCTTCTCCTTCTCTCCCTTACTACGGGGACTGGAAATTTGGCTTTGAAGCTAATTTAAGGCCCAAGGTAACCATTTCTTTTCTTTTCCGGGGATGATCTGAACCTTGCTTTATTGGTGATTTATTTTGTTGGCTGTAATTTTTTATTGGAAGTTTTATCTTGCTACCGATAATTGATATTTGGTGGATATTGCTTAGCTTCTGTAGTTTAAGCTTGTGATCCTGTTTAAAATCTCCAATACTGGCTTAGATCCGTATCGTTTCTGGATTTTAAGTCGAAAATCTTATTATGAATTCTGACTTCCAAGTGTTTGTCTTTCTCATACTTGACCTCTTGTTCAAATTTAGTTCAAAATTTTTCTTATAAAGTTCTTTCTCATCAAATAATTATTATAGTTAGTACCCATACATTCATTATGTGTGGATGATCTAAATCAAGTTTATACCTACTTTGTTTCTTGTAGCTGACTTTTCCTCTAGAGGCAATTAGAGTGATTGTTTATGACACTCAGCTGTTTTCCTTCTGAAATAACAGATTTGTATAACAACAAGTACATCAGCTGGCTTGGATCAGATTTTACCATGGATGTTTTACCACAAGGTTCTTGGAGTCACAAACTTTTTCCTCTTTGTTGAAGGGCACACTGCATCTCCAAATGTTTCTAAAGTTTTGGAGTCTATTCCTGTGAGTTTACACGAAGTCTTTGGCGGCCTATGATATGGTTTTGCTATGTTTGTCATTTATAATTTGAATTGTTCTACCTGACTTAGCAGTGATTATTCTTGGTCCGAATTGCTTATAACATAAGCTTTATGTATTCACTCTTCAGGGAGTAAAAGTTATATACAGAACGAAAGAGCTTGAAGAGCAGCAGGCTAAAAGGTCAATTAGCTTTTCCTCTTTTATGATAAAAGTACATATCTTAGATTTTAAAACTAAAGTGAAAGAATGGTTGTTCTCAGTATTTCTTCCTGGTTTTTTGTTTAACTAGAATGTGGAGGATACTGATAATAAACTGTCTTTATTTTGCATTTATTTTCTACTTGCTTTCATTACATTTTCTTTTTTTGTTCTCTAGGAACAAGTCCCTTTTTATTTTTGGTCAAAATGGCTTTCTGTTTTGTAACTTCTGGTACTTTTATGTGGCTTTCAGCCGGATCTGGAATGAGACATGGTTGTCAAGTTTCTTTTACAAGCCTTGCAATTATGAGCTATTTGTAAAGCAGTCTCTCAACATGGAAATGGCCATTGTCATGGCAAGGGTATGCTCCATGAATGATTCTATTTTCATGAATTGAATTACTTTATTATTTGTAATTGTTAGCGGATTAATATTAGGCTTATTTTGATAGTTTTCCCCTTTTTGCATTTGAAAATATAAGGATGCTGGAATGGACTGGATACTTCATCTTGATACTGATGAGCTAATACACCCAGCTGGTGCACGTGAATATTCTTTGAGGCAGTTGTTACTTGACGTACCTAGCAACGTTGATATGGTCATATTTCCGAACTATGTAAGTAGCATTTATATAAATTAATGAGAAAAGTTAGGGAACTTGGAACTGGTGGTTATGATTGGAGATCTTCTTATTCATTTGGACTGGCCTGTGAAGTTTGACAGTGGAATATATGTTCCTTTTTGTTTAGGAGAGCAGCGTTGAGCGAGATGATATCAAGGATCCTTTTACTGAGGTAAATTGTCACTTGTCCTGTTTCCTTGCTTTTCATTAGTTCATTAAATCAAGTGGTTGAAGTTGGGATTTGTAATTTCACAAGTAGCTTACTTTTCTATCCATACAAACAGGTTTCAATGTTCAAGAAGAACTATGATCATCTACCAAAGGACACCTACTTTGGCATGTATAAAGAATCAACTCGTGGTAATCCGAATTATTTCTTGACTTATGGGAACGGGAAAGCAGCTGCCCGTATTCAGGATCATCTTCGTCCAAATGGTGCTCACAGATGGCACAATTATATGAAAACCCCAAAGTACGATGATTCCATATTCTTATAGAAAATCATGATGGGATAACCTGACCCAATGCTCATATATCATATATTCTTATGTGGTTCGACATGCATACTTGCATATAGCTTGAAGGGAGCGGGGGAGGTAAGAGGTGTTTAGGGCCTTAGTGTTGGGGATGGGGGCAGCTTGATCATTGATAATGAAAGCATGTTTTATGTTGGCATCATATCATAAATAAGAATATCTTAATTGAAACTGTGACTTGTGAGCATGGAGCTGCATATATTAATATCATTTTCTATGTACATACAAATGACACTTCTTTACGTTTTTTTCCTTCTTTAAGTGAAATCAAATTGGAGGAGGCTGCTGTTCTACACTACACATATGCCAAATTTTCAGACCTAACATCTAGACGTGATCGGTGTGGCTGCAAGCCTACCAAGGAAGATGTCAAAAGATGCTTCATGTTGGAATTTGATAGAGCTGTAAGTTTAATACCTTAGTGTTTTTTTCTTCAAATATCTTTACTTCTGATATATTGGAAAAGGCATTTAAACATCAGGAGATATGAACTTGATATTTATTTACCCCTGTGAAATAAAATCTTTTGGTCATGTTATCCATACTTGAGAAATTTGGAGAGCCTAAATTAAAGGGAAGACTATTAAGGACATGGATCGATGTTGTTAGAAGCATTGAAGATCAATTCAATAATTGACACTGATTAGATGGGGATTAATATTAGGAGTGATATTTGATAGTCCCAAGCAATTTATAAAGCAACGTTATGAGCATCTGTTGTATGTTTAAGGTTCCTCTGAGGTAGTCAGCGGACAGCCAAATTTGTGTTTAGTGGCAGGAGTGAACACCATTGTGAATTTTGATTTAATGGAATCCTGAGCTACCCAGTTGTTTCCGTTTCCCCTTGTTCTTAGAGCATGGACCAGATGTTTTGGGGTTAAATTGTGATTTATGTTGTTTTATGGTTGGATTGCTCTCTGATGTATAATTGCACTTTGTATTATAGCTTGTTATGGATACTATCTTCTTATAACTGTTGTTTCATTATCTATGTAAATGTTATTTGTTGCAGGCATTTATAATTGCTTCAACTGCAACAGAGGAAGAGATGCTTAACTGGTATATGATTGAATGCAGAGTGTCTTCTTTTATTTTTTATAAAGTGCCCCTTTTTACTTGAATTGTGATGTGCTTTTGTTGAACAATATTGGCTCTGGTTATTATAGGTACCGTGAACATGTTGTGTGGGGTGACAAAGACCTAAGGCTTAAACTCCTGAGAAAGGGTATTTTAACTCGCATATATGCTCCAACGGTAAGGCCAGTTATTTGACATTAGTGAAAATTACAAATCACATGAAACCAAAACTACTTTTATGAGCATCCATCTTTAGAATTCTGTTTGAATGATATATCCATATTGACATTACATGAAAATTTTGGATATTTCTCTTTACACTTTAACATACGTTTGTCAATATTTTTTTAGCTTCGATCATGTGTTCAAATCTTTCTGCATTGGCTGTTCCTCATCACCTCTTCCTGATAATGCTGTTTTGCCATCTCAGGCCATAATACAAGGTTTAAGAGAGTCGGGGGTATTCAGCTCGGTTATTGAAAATGCCGCTAGTAGTATTTCAAAGGACAAGTTTTTAGCGTCCATTGACAGTAGCAACACATCTAGAGTTGTTTCCCTGGCTTCAAGAAAGATTGGTAGAAACAGAGAGCATCAACCATCTGTTAGGAAGGTGCTGGAAATTGCAGCGTATGAGGTAGCAGCTGTTCCGCCTTTGTCACCCCCTGCATGGACATTGGAGCAATGATGGAGTGACCTATCTATCTGCAACCTTCTTTATCATGTCTTCTGCTTCCAACACACCGGAGTCACAGAGCAAGCGAAGGAGCGGGTATGCAATATCTTCTTGTTGTGTATAGTCTGTTATAAAGATTTCTGCTCTGCCGTTGAATGTTTGAAGCAAGAATCTGCCGCCTGTTGTCATTTATAATAATGTATTTCAGCATTGCTAGAAATTGAATCGTCATCATATAATTATAATTGTAGGTCAAGTTTCTGTATTTGTTAAAAAAATACAAGTAAATGAAATCGCACTATAACTTGGTATATATGGTTGTTTTAGTTGAGATCACACAACACTAATTAGTTGAGATTCATATGATTATGTATTTGGAAGTTACATAAATTTTAAGGACATTAAAGTGAGTCAATAAGAGAGTGTTTCGGGCTTCTCATTTATACAATGATACAAACACTGCAATGGAACGTTTTTATTTTTCTCAATCCGTTCTTATTTTATCAAAGGAATAAACTAATTTTCAACGTAAATAAACCAGATTACATTAATGTTTGGTTTTAGTTTCTTCACGTCTGATTTGTGTGTGTTTAAAGTTGTAATATTTTATTTAAATTTTGTTTTATAATTATTTTCTCTATATAAACTCAATTTAAGCTAAATTTAATTTTTGTTTATGAACATTTAGCAACAATAAACAATATATAAACTATTCGGAAGTATAAATCATTGAATTAGAAGCATAATATTTGGCAAGACTCGACTCTCCTCTTAATTGGTGCCTTCCAATAGTTAAAATAGAAAGAACTCAGAGAGTAACGGGCTGTTATCATAGGTATTAAATAAAAAAATATTAAAATAAATTCTCAAAAGTTCTCAAGCTATCAGAGTGGCGCAGCGGAAGCGTGGTGGGCCCATAACCCACAGGTCCCAGGATCGAAACCTGGCTCTGATATTTTGGGAAAGGCTTCCGTTAGCTTTTTTGGCTTCAGCTTCCTTCAGCTCCAAAGAAGATCAGCCTCTAGATAAATCAATGAAGAGAGAGAAAGGAAAAAATCATACCGAAAAAAGTGCTGCCATGGACCTTGAAGGAGCTGTGTCTTCGTCCCAAGTGCCAACCAAGTTGTGTTATGAAGTTTTAATTTTCATTTGCAAAAGAAGTTGAGATGGGAGAAGTAGATAAAGCCCAACTTGGTTTCTTTTCTTGTACAACAATAACATGGAAATTATAAAATAAAATTACTGTAGCTTTCGGATTGGGAGCACTTGTTCTGGAAATTGTGAGTTTTGATTCCTTGATTGTTTGAAACACCAATGAGTAGATGAATTCCGGGAATGTAATTATGGTGGGATGGGATGTAAAATGATTTTTTAACTTTACAGGTTGGATGTTCTTCATTCTTCCTGCACGTCTCTGCATCATAAATCAATGCACACCGAGGCACACTGCTAGACAAGTTGAACATGTACCTGCACAGCTTTTGTCAAATGCACCTTTGGTTGCTCCATAACCACCAAATTTAACTTGTGGGAAAACATAATGCATTCGCAAGGATGTTGAAATATTTACTATACATCCTAACCTGCAATAACAGGAAGCATCACATAACATAATCTTTTACTCCTACAAACCACACCCTAAGAAAGGCTTCTTTGATCCTTCCTGAAACATGTCATGCTCCACAAACACTGAGCATCACTCGAGTATAAGCACTTAAATATGTTTACAAACCATACGCAACTATAATTCATTGAATGATATTATGTGTTACCCAGAAAAAGGTTTAAAAATTAGAAAAGCTTCAGCTGCTAAACAACAATCAGAGTGGCGCGGTGGAAGCGTGGTGGACCCATAACCCACAAGTCCCAGAATCGAAACCTGGCTCTTATATTCTGCTGGAGCCTTCATCCGAAATTTTTTGTTTCTCTTCAGCGATGTGGGAATTTTTTGGGCCCAGGGAAAGGAGAAGTGGTTAACTGCTCAGAGAAACAGAACGCTGATCTCTTTTACAACGTTCTCGGAGGACTCGGACGGTTTGATATCATAACACGGGCTAGAATATCACCAGAACCTGCACCGGAAATGGTAAAAACGGCGAGCATTAAACTACATGGTCTTAGTTTAGTTGAAATTACAATTGTTGTGACTATTCGCTTTCATTAACATGTGAAATGGATTATATTGTTGTACACAGATTTTGCCACATTTGCCAAGGACCAAGAGAAGTTAATATCCGGAGAAATCACATTTGATTACATTAGAGGGTTTGTAATAATAAACAGAACAGGTCTCTTAACTAATTGGAGATCCTCATTCAATCCACAAGATCCAGTTTTCCAATCATCAATGGAAGCACTTACGTTTGTTTTCACTGTGCAGGAAATGAAGAGTTCATTATCTCAGTTAAACCATGTTCGGATGTTCCATCAACACTTTTTCTATCACAAGTTTCCTACATTGAGGTTCACATTTCCAAGATCAAACTAAGGTCGAAAGGTTTACCGGAAGTTCCACATCCATGGCTTATTCTTCTCAACCCAAGAAGTAAAATCCAGATATTTGCTCAACATGTCTGTGGCAATATCCTTACTGAAACAAGCAATGGTCCCATTCTCATCTACCCTGTTAATAAATCAAAGTAAACTTGCATTTAAAAAAAAAAAAAAAAACCTCTTAGCATTAATGAGTTTCTTTGATTGATTATAGTGTTAATTATGACTTACGTTTCTTACAAGTGGGACAATAGAACTTCACTTGTAATACCAGAAGAAAATGTTTTCTATTTAATGGCATTCCTTTCTTCTGCAGTACATTCTTCAATAGGAAGTGATGGATTAGACCACGTACTAATTCAGAACAAAAGAATTTTAGAATTCTGCGAGACAGCTCGTGTCGACGTAAAGCAATACTCGCCGCCTTATTTGATGCAGAGAGAGGGGAAAGCTCATTTCAGTTCACGATGGAAAGTTTTTGCGCTGAGAAAATCGAGTTACGATCCCTTGGCAACGCTTGCTATTGGCCAAAGATTATTTCAAAAGGCATGCCTTGCTCACAATGACATCTAGAGAAATACACTGCAGCATGTCGGTAAATGTTTTAGCTGCATATAGTAGTAAATACCACTCAAATATTGTAAGGACAAGGTATAGGCTTGAAATTTTTTTGTTGTTGCTTGACATTTACTAGTGTAATGGATCTTTCCAGTTCCATGGTGGGTTGAAAGGAAGTTTTTGAAATTATATTATTTAAAGAATTAGCGTCATATCCTTACACCTATATTCGATCCACATTTAATTCAATTATTATTAATGAACAATAAATTAATATGTTTACAGACATACGTTAAATATGTTCCTAAATATTTAGCAACAACAAAACGATATACAAAGTTACAAACCACACGCAACTATAATTCATTGAATGATGGTATGAAAAAAGAATATAAATATAAAAAAGCTTCAGAAATCGTTTGACGATCAGAGTTGCGCAGCGGAAGCGTCATAACCCACAGGTCCCAGGATCAAAACCCGGCTCTGATATTTATGCGAATTATTCGTCAAATATTTTGTTGACTCTTCACCGATGAGGGGTTTTTTTTTTATATTTTGGAGTATAGAGGCAGAAAGAATATCGAAGGTGCTTTGAATTTGTATAGGAAGATGAAGGAAGACAAATTATGTGAGTTGAGTTTTCATACATATAACATTTTACTCGGGAATTTCATGAAGTTGGATCGAATCAAAATCGTCTAGGAAATATGGGATAATCTTAAAGGAATTGCACCATGGCCTGATTTAGATTCTTATCTGTACATTATTGATCAATGGGTTATGTGAGAAGCAAAAATGGAGAGATGCATGCCAACTGTTTGTGGAAATGATTGAGTAGGCCCAAAAAAAAACATTGGAGACATTGCACAAGAGTTTAATACAGTCTAATATGTTGAGGACTTGAGGAAGGTTAAAGAATAAAATTTTGGTTCGGAGTTTCAATATTACCTTTTTGGTTTATTTGTATGTTAATTGCCTTTGACAAATTAATATAAGGTTCATCTTAAACTTATAGATCATTTTTGTTATGAAGGGTTTGGGTTTAGCACTTGGATTATTTACAGTGATTAAGCAAGATACTGGTAAACAAATGTACTATATACAAAACACCACACCCTTTCTATTCCATCAAGAACCTAAATCTAACTGGAGCTTGTCCATGTTTGAAACCTGCTACCAGGAGAGCAACAAAGCAATCATAATAATACTTGAAAGGATATTATATAAACATACATGCTTATATACTTGAAAACGGAAGTGATGTTAGAAGAAAAGTCACAAAAAGTATGATCAACAAATTATAAGATAGATCATTTTTTAGTACATATTAAATATGTTCATAAATATTTTAGCAACAATGAACCATTTGCAACTATTAAATTCATTGAATGTTAGCATGCTTGTTAACCAGAAACTAAATTTAAAAATAAAAAATCCTCTAGGTGAAAACCAGCAATCAGAGTGGCACAGCAGAAGAGTGGTGGGCCCATAACCCACGGTCCCAGGATTGATAACTGGCTCTGATATTCCAAAGGTTTTAGTTTAGTTGAAATTACAATTGTTGTGACTATTCTCCTTCATTAACAGGTGAAATTGATTAGAGTGTTTATGCAGGAAATAAAGAGTTCATTATCTCAGTTAAACCATGTTCCATCAACACTTTTTCTATCAGAAGTTCCCTACATCGATTTTATAGACCGAGTTAACATTCCCGATATCAAACTAAGGTCGAAAGGTTTATCGGATGTTCCACATCCATGACTTAATGTTGCTTACAGGCGGGACAATAGAACTTCAGTTGTAATACCAGAAGAAAATGTTTTCTATTTAGTGGCTATTCCTTTCTTCTGCTCTACATTCTTCAATAGGAAGTGATGCCTTACTCGATGCAGAGAGAGTGGAAAGCTCATTTTGGTTCGCGATGAGAAGTTCTAGCATGGAGAAAATCGAGTTATGATCCCTTGGCAATGCTTGCTCCTGGCCAAAGAATACCTTACTCACAATAACATCTAGAGAAATACACTGCAGGAATGTAGGCAAATGTTTTAGCTGCATATAGTAGTAACTGCCTCTCAAAGTACAAGGTATAGGCTTGAATTTTTTTTCTTAAACCAAAAGGATCAATCATATCACATGTTAATTAACTTGACAATTATGAGTGTAATGGATGATCTATGAATGATTGCTCAGTCTCGGTCATATGGGGGCACTGCCATTGTTGTTGGTGGAAAGGACCCATTTCTACTGTCGGCCACCAGCATC